TTAGGGTTTAGGGAAGTTTAGGGTATCCAACTTCATAGTCTAACCGTGTGGCTGCGATAAGCAACAATCCAAGACAGGTTGATCACAGTGCAGGTTCCATCCCGCGTTGCTATCCGTTGTTCTTAATGCAGCCAGTGCTCTTGTTGATGGCACCTGCCCAACCTGCAACCGTAAGCATGGTCCTTTCCTTGCCTTAAAGATTCTTGATGTGCCCTGCATTGTTGCAAGAAGCCTGTACAACATGCTAAGCAATATTTCGTTTAAGCACACCTACTCATCGTGTCTTGCGTGTTTGCGTTTATGCAGATTGCATGAAAGTGGTTACTAATGATGTGTTCTTGTTCGTCCTGCCTTAACACTGATCTGGAGTCCGCGTGCTGTCTGTAAAGGACGACACTGTGATTCTGCATCTTGCCTAACTTCGTAGTTTCTTTCCTTGGACAGTTGCTGCTCTCGTTGTCAAGTCTACTAATGTGTACATCTGACACTCTCGAGATTATTGCAGCTGCATGCATAAGAGCAGCTCTCAAGGTAATCACAAATGATGTCATGCTGACCGCATCTCAACAGTGTGGACATGTGCGTTTCAGAATTGTGGCAAATGTGAATGTCAGAATACATGCACATGTGTATACGTACATATGTATATATATATCATATGAGATCAGATCAGATCATATATATATATACCCATACCGCATAAGCCGACATATTACTACTAGTTCGCAACATGTCGCATCAGCGTGTTGGTAATCGTGACAATCATTTCCAGCGCCCATTTCAGCAGGACCATGTATGAATCATGAACTCCCTACGACGACTTGCACTTAAACATCCTGAAACCGGGACCAGCGGACAAAGATGAAACATACTCTGAACAGTTGCTCCTCATATCTCTGATCACCCATGATTTCAGTTGAAACACTGAAATATACTGAACCCACCCGGACCAGAGATCAAAGAGCGAAGACATTAAAACACTTTGCCATGTATCTCCGGCCCCGGGTGGGTGTCAGCACATGTATGACCCATACTGAAACGCGGGAACCCTCGATTTTGGGTGACATCTTTGATCTTGGATGCTCCTGGGTGGGTTTCAGTACAGATGCTGATCTGACCTATACTGACATCAAGCCAGGAAAGACAGGCTGACCGATATGTTAAGGAGGCTTTTAGCAGCCTGCGGTGCAAATTTACTAACCCTCATTGGTCAAGCAAGACTTGCACAAAGATGTATTTTGCTACTGGTTGAAACAACTCGGTTGGTCAGCAGTCGAAGGACACATGTGCACACAGGTGCCATGCGAGGTAGGCTTGTTTGGGGAGGTAGCATGTATATACATAAATATGCGTAAAGTTCATATACAGATATATACATATATACACAGACATACATACATACATACATATATATGCTACCCCCCCC